AGCAGTGGAGGCGGGTCTGCGGTAGCTCTTAGGGTACCCATGTCTGTCTCCTGAGTGGTGGAGGCTGGGGGATGGGAGGGGAGGGGTCTGCTCAGGGATGAGACGGCCCTTGGAACCTTTTGGGGTCTGGCTGGGCGGCGTGGGTGGACACCCTGAGGCTCAGTGCCCCTCCGTCCCTGGCTCCAGCCCTCGGCCCAGCTCCTCCTGGGCCAGCCTGGCAGCCTAACCCCCAGGCTCTGCCGGCCGCCTGCTCCCCTCAAGCCTTTCCAGCCCAGACTTGGTCTCCTGGGCTGCTGCAACAGACCACCACAAGGGGGCGCTCTGAGGGGCAGAGGTGCCTTCCTCTCCCGTTAGGGGAGTCTGGGTGCACACACGTGTTCTGCTCGGTTTAAAGGACACCGCTCAGGTTTCCAGTTCGAAACCCACCCTCCAAACATAACAAAAACCTGTGTCCGAAGAGGCCCCCAGTCTCGGGGGCTAGGAGTCTGGCCCACGTTCTGGGGGAGAGTTGACTCCACAGCAGGTCTGCAGGCGGGAGGGCGGCGCTGTGGCTGTGGGGCGGAGGGGCCGGTTTCAGAAGACCCAGCAGCACCTGAGTTATTTCTCTGCCTGGGCCTGGGAGCCGTGCCTCTGCGGACCAGAGCCCCCAGAGGACACTTTCTCCAGCCCTGCCACTTGGCTGGATGCATGTGTTGTCCGAGACGGTGGGGGGAAGGTCTGGGGCTGGTGGGGTGGCCTGGCTGAGCCGAGGGGAGCTTGAGCTGCGTGTCCACGGGGCATGGGCTGGCTGCGGGAGGACGAGGGGGGAGGGACATGAGCTAAGTGTCCCCCAGGGGATTTGATTGCTGAGTGGACAGGGCCCGTCTCCCTCAGATGAGCGGGGATTTGGTCTGTGAAGTGGGGCAGAGTCTGGAGGGGTCCATGGTTCTGGACCCCTGAGATGATGCGGGCATGAGCGATGCCTTTTCTGGAACTTTCTAGCATTGGGCCCTGAGAAGTGGGCTCTTCGAGGTTCTGTCTGGAATGTGGGGGGCTTTTAGCTGCCGTGTGCCTGGGGTCAGGGTAAGCTCACACCTGGCCTTCAGGCTGAGCACGCCACGTCCCTTCACGCCCAAGCCACCTCAACTGTCCTGGCACAAGCTGCAGCCCCATGGGCCGTTGCAGCGTCCACACCGCCTGCGGCCGGCCACCGTCCAACACACTTGTTGGCGGGCCCATCACGCTCCTCATGTCCCTGTTGAGCTGAGAGGGGTCCCTGGCGTCAGGATTCGGGAAACGTGAAACAGAGCTACTCGCAACCACACAGCTGCCCAGACAGCCCTCCCTCGAGTCCGTGGGCCAGTGCTTGGCCTGCTGAGATCGGCATCCCCTGAAGTTTCCAGAAAGTGTGTGGCACCGGTGGGAGCCGGGAGGGGCAGAGGGTGACGGGCTCCTGAGCTGAAGGGGTCGCTGGCACCACTCTCTCACCAGGCTTTTTTGGAACAGGCAGCTGAAGAGAATCGCGGCCACAAGAAGACTGTCCGCATCCCAGAGGTGACCCTGTCCTGTCTCGCTCTTTCACACGTCCCCTGTGCACACATCTTTCTAACACACATTTGGAAAGACCTGTCACAAGTGCTGTCCTGTGGCCTGCTGTTGATTTGGTGGAGTGTGCCTCCTGCAGTGAGGCCGGGACCAGGGTCAGGGTACCATCACCTGAGAGCAGGGCCCTGCTGGGACCAGTGTCAGGGTGGTATCACCTGAGACCAGGTTCCTACCTGAGACCACGTCCCTGGCTGGGACCAGCGTCAGGGTACCATCACCTGAGAGCAGGGCCCTGCTGGGACCAGTGCCATTACCTGAGAGCACATTGCTGCCACGGACAGTGTGCCTGCTGGACACCCTCCACCCTTGCAGAGGTGCTCCGTGTCGGAGCTGAGACCCCCATCAGCTGCCCCCAGCCCTGCAGGTGCCCATGTGCCCCACCGTTCCAGCCTCGCCCTCCCTGCCCCTTGCAGGGTTCTCCTGGTTTTCTGTGTGTTGTGTGTGTCCTTGGAGAGGGTGGCAGTGGGTGACTGCCTCATGTGGCCGTGGGAGCAGCAGGGACGCCACCTTCTGGGTCACCCTCCTTGTCCATGCTGTCCCAGGCGAGCGGTTTCCAGGCACTTGGCTGTGGGTGGTCCTGTTGTAAGGTCAGATTGCAGGGCCCCCAGAGTGGCCTAGCCTTCCCACTAGCGGTCACTTGGGGCGCAGGGTGTGGCCACTTTCGGGATCTGGCCTCTCAAGTTTCCTTTCCCCACGGACCCGGCTTTCTTTGTCTGCCCCACTTTCTCTTGTGAAGTTGAGTCATGTTTCTGATTGCGTGGCTGTGGTTTTGGCTTCAAGGGGAGGCAGCCCTTGAGCTGGGGGGTGGTTGAGGTCCTTCTTTCTCCAGTGCCCCCCTCAGACCTTTGGGACACAGCCCCTGGGCAGTGCCTAGAAGAAACCCGCGCATCTAGCCTGTGCTATAGAACTGCTCCCAGGCCCCTGGAACTGGGGAGAGGGCCCTGTGTGTCTCGGGGGATGGTGCTGGTTCCTGGGTGTCGTGGGTGGGAGCCCTGGACTAGGGTCGGCCTGCTGGGGAGGGGAGCAGCCCTGGGCCAGGCCTGTGCTCCCAGGATGGTTGGTGGAGTCGGTGGGGAGACAGGGTGGGCTCCCCAGGATGGGCCTGGGCTTGTTGGGGCAGCAGTGTCGTGGGGCTGACTCTTGGCACCACCCTCGGCCACCACAGTCTGGGTGAATGGGGTGGGAGTCTGGTACCGCCCCGTTTGCCAGGACGCCAGGTATGGCGCACGCCAAGGGCTCAGTGAGGCCTCCAGCCTCACCACTCCGCCACCCCGAGGCACTGCAAGTCAGCACCCCACTTCACGTGGATGGGGACCGAGGAGGGCGCAGACAGTGTCCCTCTGAGTGGAAGCAGCAGTCAGAGCCTGGCTCAGGGAGCCCCCTGCGGGCTGCATCTCCCCGGGGACACCTTGGGAAGCAGTTGGGGACAGAGCCCCTCAATCCCCGCCTCCTGGCCCCTGGCTCTCCACAGCCAGCTAGGACACGTGGGCTCCGTGTGTACCTGGTGCACCTGTGTGTGTGGACCTGGGCCGTGGCCAGGGTGTGTGGGCGACACCTGGGACCAACGTGGGCTCCTCTCGGGGACTCGGCTTCTGCTCTGATTCTGTACCAGAGGAGCACCATGGCTGCAGGCTCCGTGTGGCGCCTGGCACGGGGTGTACGCGGTGGGTGTGCAGGCTCCGTGTGGTGCCTGGCACGGGGTGTACGCGGTGGGTGTGCAGGCTCCGTGCGGTCGCCTGGCACGGGGTGTACGCAGTGGGTGTGCATGCTCCATGTGGTCGCCCAGGGGCATTAAGGGGGCACACATTCCATGTGGTGACCTGGGTGGGGGGTGCCCCGTGTTGTCGGCGGGGAGCACATACCCTGTGTGGTTGAGCTTGGATGCTGGTGGCTCTTGGGGAAGCCCGCTCTTTCGGTCGCGCCAGTGCCCGCGCCACGGAAAGGAGAGCTTTAACACGATTCTGCAGTTGAATCAAAGGCTGTGGGACGCGCGTCCCCCAGATGACCCTTTGGACGGGTCACTGTGTGTCTGGGTGGCAGTAAGGCCTCATGATTCACGATTCCGTGTTTGTACATTTGTGGTCACTGTTGCAGACATGCACAGAGCACAGCAAATTGCAGTCGCTGGAGCCGTGCCCCCAGCCGAGGCCCCAGGTCCCATCCTGCAAACAAGTCCCCTTCGGGCTCTAGTTAGTGCCACGTTTTCACCTTTGTGCTTTTTGGTAATGTCACCCTTTAAATGCCCCCTAGCGTGGTGCTGCTTCTCATGTACTTTGGTCCTGGTGTCAGAAGGGGCCATTGCCTGGAAAAGAATATCCTACTTGGCAAAGTGGAGGGTCAGCAAGAAAGGGGAAGACCTTCAACGAGATGGACTGACAGTGGCCGCAGCGGTGAGCTCAGGCATGGCCAGGATCGTGAGTCCGCAGCAGGACCGGGCAGTGTTTCGTTCTGTTGCACAGGGGTCGCTGTGAGTCACCGAACGACGTCCATTGTGTGCTGCGGCACTGTTTGGTGTCCCTGAGCTAGGACGTGCTTAGGGAGTGGCTGTGTGCACGAGCCGGCCTGTGTCCAGGCAGCCCTGCTGCTGTGGGCCGTGTGTTTAACGTGGATGGACCAGCAGTGCATACTCAGTGAGGGGTCTGTACACACGTGTCGCTCTGCCTCAGTCGTGGGGACCAGCACCCGCAGAGGCCTGACCCTGTATTTCCTATGAGCAATGGCTCATTCCTACCTGATTCCATGTTCCTGGCGATTGTGTGAACACATCCACCACGAGTCAGCTGTGTACCTGACATGGGTGACTATGTACACTAAGCAAATGGACATATACCCAACAGGAATGGATTGTGTACCCAGTCCAGGTTGACTGTGTACCTAACGTGAGTGGACTGTGTACCTAAATATGAGTGGACTGTGTACCAATGTGGGTTGTCTGTGTACCCAATGCGAATGGACCATATACCCAACGTGAATGGACTGTGTACCAACACGGGTTGTCTGTGTACCCAATGTTAATGGACTGTGGTCTGTGAACCCAATGCTAATGGACTGTGTACTGATGTGGGTTGTCTGTGTACCCAATGCAAATGAACTGTATACTCAATGTGAATGGACTGTATACCCAGTCCAGGTTGACTGTGTACCCAGTGCGAATGGACTGTGTACCGATGCGGGTTGTCTGTACCTGACATGAGTCAACTGTATCTGACGTGCTTTGGAGAGAGGTGCTCAGTGCGGGGAGCTTGTTGACAGTGAGGGGCTGCTGGCTGCGGGGTCCCCTCCAGGGCAGGGCCTGGACACGAGGCTACTGGGGAGACCCGCCTGGCTGCTGGGCTTCCTGCACACACTGCTTCCGTGTCCTGTTGCCGGCCTTTGCTTCCGGCTTCTGCCGGTGACCACAGTCACTCTCCCAGCAGGAGATGGCACTCCCAGGGAAGTCAGCCCCTTCCTCGGCAATGTGGAGCTGGAGCACAAGGACTTCCTCGAAGGGAAGAACATGGCCCTTTTTGAGGTAACGTACTTCTTTCCTGAAGAAGGGCCACAGGTAGTGGCTTGGATTCTGGAAAGTGAGGGAGCAGTGACCCCAACTTCTCCATTCGGGGCACAGGGTGGTGGGTGAAGGCCGTGACACTGTGCAGCCCACACTGGGTGGCCGGGTGACTTCATCTGGGGAACAGGGTGGCAGGTGAGGGCCGTGACACCGTGCAGCCCACACTGGGTGGCCGGGTGACTTCATCTGGGGAACAGGGTGGCAGATGAGGGCTGACACCATGCAGCCCACGCTGAGTAGCTGGCAGCGGTCTTCCTGACCCACAGGTGCTGGGGGGCCTGTCCTTCACTACTATGCTCTGTGTGGTCACCCACTCCCAGCATCTCCTCGTAGGGTGGTCGGGATGCCCTGACCTCCAACCGCTGACGCTGAGCCTTTGGGACCACAGCCCAAGCCCCAGCAGCTTTCTCTTGAGCGAGCACAAGCAGGAAGTGGTGCCGGGGGGGGGGGCCCAGTGAATCTGAGAGTTGAGTGTGGGGATGAAGGGGGCTGTCCTCTAGCCGCCAGTGGTCAGCGTCCCCGTCCCCACACAGGAGGAGATGGACAGTAACCCCATGGTGTCATCACTGCTCAACAAGCTGGCCAATTACACCAACCTGAGCCAGGGTGTGGTGGAGCACGAGGAGGA